GCATGATAAACAATCTTATGGAGACAGAAACTGGACTGACAGTTCCTGGGGGATGTGGTGGAGGGGAGGGGCAGTGAGCAGGGAGTCAACAGTGACAAGTACAGGGTAAGTGTTCTAAAATTGATGGCAAGCAGTGTGTAGCTTTTCTGGTCATGTTTCATCAATTGTATCTGAGAGAATTTACTGAGAGATGAACAATGGGTAAACATAATAGTGGGGTGGCGGGGAGAGGAAGAAAAATATATGTGTGTGTGTATTTGTTTATATATGTATATATAAACATATGCAACAAGGAAGCAGATGGACTCTGGGCTTTTACTTAAATCTTGCCTCAGTATACACTCATAAGAACAATTTGTTCTAATAATGTGGCATTGTATGATACTCACCTCCCTGAAAGATTGCAGAAGATAAAATGGGTTCATAAGCAAATGTGATGAAGAAAATTAATGGTGCCCAGCTATCAAAAGACATAGCATCTAGGGTCTTAAAGGCTTGTAATTAAACAAGCGGCCACCTAGCAGGGAAGCAACAAAGTCCACATGGAAGAAGCACATCAGACTGTGATCAAGAGGTGTCAATGGGAAGAGGCATCAGAAGTTCAAAAGCACACAACCAAATCATTGTGATAGGCCCAAATCATTGTGGAGGCCCAAGATCCAACTGCAAGATAATTGGTCAGTCCCTCTCAGAAGGGCTACATGGAATGAACAAATTCAGGGTGCGAAATAGCACTGATGAACCACATAACTATCATCTAATTCTTTAAGATTTCTTCCCTTTACCATTAAGGTCTTTATGTGTTATGCCTCATGAATCATGTTAGATTGGGTATGTTTATGTGTATATTTAAGATCACTTGGTACATGGTAGTCAAGATAGTTGACCCCTCAGAGACAGTGGCAGGAGTAATGGTTCCTGAGGGCACAAGAAGTGAGTGGGGTCTGGGAAGGAGGTAAAGGGGAGTTGATAGCATTGATAACCCTACCTAATGGGACTGACTGAACAACAGAATTGTATGTAAAAGGACATATTGGAATATCTAAGATATGTCAATAAAACTACTATTAAAATAATAAAAAATAAAATCAGGAAAGCTGTGCATCAGGATTGCATCTTTTCACTAACCTGTATGCTTGAGTAACTAATCTGAAAAGCTAGACAATGTGAAGAAAAATGCAGTTTGAGGACGGGAAGATGTCTTACTGACAACGTGTATTACATACACAACCTTGCTCTCTAAAAGGGAGGCGGAGTTGAAGCACTTGATGAAAATCAAATGCTGAGTCTTTCAGTTTGGATTATGACTCATGTTAAAAAAACATAAATCTTGACAAGCAGACCAATAGACAATATCATGATAAACAAAGATTCAAATTGTCCAACATTTCCTTTTACTTAGATCCATAATCAATGCTCATGGAAGCAACATTAAATATATTAAATGACTGTGTTGGGCAAATCTGCTGCACAAGACTTCTTTAAAAGTGCTAAAGAATAAAGATGTCAATTTGAGGACAAAGATGTAGTTCATTCATACCATGATATTTTCAACTGGCTCATATGTATATGAAAAGGAGAGAATGAGTAAGGAAGGGTAAAGGGGTAATGCATTTGAATTATGGTGTTGCCAAAGGGTACTGAATGTATCACGGAGTGCCAGGGAAACAAAAACATATGTCTTATAGGAAGTACAGCCAGAAGATTCTTGTACTGAATAAAGCAAGGATGGTGAGATTTCATTATAGGCACTTTGGGCATGGAGAAACCAGTTCCTGGGAAAGAACATCATGCTTGGTAGAGGGTCAGAGATAAAAAAGAAGACCTTCAACAAGATAGACATAGTGAGCTCAAGCATAACAATTCTGAGTATGGTGCAGGACCAGGCAGTGTTTCATGCTGTTCTATATAGAGTTACTATAAATCTGCACCAACTCAAGAACATTCAACAACAAAACAACACGGTCATTGTGGTAGTTATATAATCATTTGTCAATTTGAAAGGATTAGGAGTAAAGGGGTGGAGTCCAGGCTATCAATCAGGTGATAGCTAAAGGGGTCTGTGTATGGGCATGGCTTTCTCCTAAGGATTCTGGGAACTCCTGTATTCCTCCCTGTGAGACATCCCTGAGAAGACACATGGACTGACACTGATGAAATTTTGGGAGCTGGAGAAGCCATGTGGAGACCCCTGCCAGCACTGAGATGCTTACAATGCCTCTGGATCCACAAGACTTCCCACCCACTGACCTGTGATCTTCCTGAATTTGGCGTCATTGCATGTGTTTCGTCAGTCCGAAGAGGACTTTATAGATCGGTATTGGACATGTGTGCTAATATTGGACTTACAGACTTGATCTGGACTGGGCTGGGATGTTTTCTCAATATTAAACTGCTCTTATATACAAAGCTCTTTCTTATACACACGAGTGCATCTATGAATTTGTTTCTCTAGTCAACCCAGACTAACATAGTCATATGTTCAGATGTTTAAGGAACTGTTTCTACAGTGGTTGTACCACTTTGTATTCCAACCAGCAATAGACAAGGGTTCCAAGGGTGAAAGTTTACCAAGCACATCAGATTTCCATTCAACAAGGAGGGCATCAAAGGGGTAAATATGGTAGTTCCAGATCCCCATTCATTGAGTGCCCTCAAAGCAAGAGATCTGAATCAAAGATTACCAATTCTATAACCTTAGGATAACAGTCATCTGCTTCTTCTCACAATAGGGCTTTTCAACTTTTAGTCCAAAGGAATATATCAGTTGCTTAAATCTGCTATAGATGAGTTCAAGGTAAAGTGCAGTTTGTTCACTTAGTGGTGTTTCCATATTGAATCCTTCTGATATGACCTATGAAAGATAATAACATGGATGAAGGGAAAGGCAATGTATAATAAGGAGGAGATTAGCACAGTCTGACTTTTAACTCAAAACGGGAACCCTGGTGGCATAGTGATTATGTATTGTGCTGTGATCCATAAGGTCTGCAGTTTGAAACTACCAGCTGCTCCATGGGAAAGAGAGAAGGCTTTCTACTCCTGTAAAAAGTTAGGATCTTGGAAATGCACAGGGGCAGTACTACCCTATCTATAAGCTTGCTATGAGTCGGCATCAACTCAATGGCAGTAAGTTTGGTTTCAGGACTAGAGTGAAGCATTTTCAAATACCTGGAAAGTTATTACCATTAAGGATTACTGCCAACAGTAATGTTAAGACTGCTTTGAGGTTAGAATTGATGTTCATGCTCATGATCCCTTCTTCTTCACAATCAGTGAAGTAAGAATTACAGAGAGAAATTTGAGTTCTTTCTACTGCAGGGCTCTGGGTATTTCTCCTAGTATTATTTCCTATGTTGTCAACTAATCATAATTCTGTATTGTTTAAAACATTGATTCATGGGATATTTGGGTAAAACCTCACTTCCTCCATTAAACACTTGGTATTTTATCTTAGCTGTTTGCTGGGTTGATATTTCCTTGTGATAGGAGGTGTTGAAAGAGGATGAGGAAGAGAAACTTTGCAGAAAATAGTGAAAAACCAATACTTGGATGACTTCTTCACTTCTCTAAGATTAGCACCATGGTGGTAAGGAATCAGTGAGAGATTTAGATGACCTAGGAACTAATTAGAGGGGCTGTTATCAGTCTTTGCTTCCATTATTTTGTATACTTTCTCCAAAGGTAGTCTCAAATATCCAATCACATTACCCTGCCTTTATAATAAACACTCAAACTGGCCTCAAATTAGTAAGACCTTGACCCTAGTTTTCTTGAGTATAAGAATGAAGATAAAGGCTTATACCCAGTCATGTCCCTGTCAAAATATTCCATGGGGCAGAAATTTCTCTGTGGGACTAAATTATCAATTTGAAACACTGTTGCCCAAGGATCTGTCTTCTGGCTCACAAAGAAGAAATATAAGAATTATTTATTTATTCTTCTGGCTTGAGTACATTTCTCTGGCTAGTTAGAGGGAACTTTAATATTTCATTACTTAGAAAACCACTGTGGACTTTAATCATAATATAGTTGAAGAGAGTTGCCACCAATTCCAACTAGAAAACTTTCAGAATTTTAGACAGATTTTCCCCCCTCACACCTGAGTATTGAAGTAAGTCTAGAAAACTATTCCATGTAATGCTATGATTTCAGTGTCCAAAGATCAACTTGAGACCTTGGATGAAATTGTGTCAGTTTTTTACTAGAAGTTTTGGGACACCTCAACTGATAAAATAAGGGTATAGATTTTTTCCCCATTTTTTCCCTAATACCCAACATTCTAACTTTGACAGAACTCACATTTGCATATTTGTCATCTTATAATGAGGAAATGTTATAAAGATGTTTTAATGTACATGCAGTTTTTCAATGAATGTCAATTCAAAATTTGCTGCCCCCCTCCCTCCCCCAAAAGACCTCCTTTAGCATCTAGCAAAAAGTATAATTTGTGAATGGGAAAGCTAAATGCCCACACTATCAGCTACTCTCAGATCTGAACACCGAGGCCTATCTATTGCGTTAGGGCTCTCTGCTTGGACTGGGCACCATGCTTCGGGTCTTCATTGTAGAGACCCATTTGTCAGTTTACATATAGTTCAATTCCTCCTTCCGTTAGGGCAGTGGTTCTCAACCTTTCTAATGCTGTGACCCTTTAATACAGTTCCTCATGTTGTGGCAACCCCCCAATCATAAAATTATTTTCGTTGCTACTTCATAACTATAATTTTGCTAGTGTTATGAATCAGGTGACCCTGTGAAAGGGTCGTTCGACCCCCAAGGGGGTCGTGACCCACTGGTTAAGAACCTCTGCATTAGGGTAAAATCTCCTAAGAAAGGAGAAAAATCACATAAATTAGACTCTGAGGCATAGCCTGAGGCAAAGAACAAAACCTCACAGCACTTTCCTGGGCAATAAGAAGAGCGGTGAGCCATTTTAACAAGAACAATTTTTAATTAAATTTACAATTCAATATTATGATAATTTTTTTCCTCTTTCATAGAAAACATTTATAAAATTATCAGTTTTGGAAAAGACAAACAAACAAAAAAATGTAAAAAAGCAAACAAAAGACAAATTCAAGTACAGAATACATATGTGTGCCTGGTTCTGATGGTTGCTGCTAGGCTGCTAGACTCATCTCAGAATCAGTTCAAGATCTCTTCCAAATTCAACATGCCCAAGGTGGGTATTTTGGCGACTTCAAAGAAGATTCTGAAAAAAAGAGAGAGTTTTGCTCAATATGAAATAGTCCAAAATGTTCCATGTGACAGGTAGGACATACGGCCCAGGTTCCCGATCATGCTTTAACCCTAGAACACAAAAGAAAATTTTCTCTACATTTTCCCCCTTAAATGAGGCTAGTCTGAGCCTAGTGCTTTAAGGTTTCCCCAGGATTAAATACAACCCCAACCTCAACAGGTACTTACCGGTGAGAATACTTGGAATACACAGTTTTCAATCTTGAGTCACAAGATCGAAAAGTCAGCATGTTGTTCAACTGCCTGACCAAGGGATAAAGATCAGAGATCTTGTAGCCACTATAATATTCCAGGGTAGGAGCCTGGTAGAAGCAACAAGAACAGCAATTTTTACTTTAGGAAGCAGACCCTTCTTCTATCTCTGCGATCCTATCCTAAATCCTTCAATGCCCCCTTTTAACCTATGGTAACTGTTGGTCAAATTTGGATCCTTTTATTTTTCTTGATTTTCTTGATATAGTATTCACATATCAGATATTTCCATGGTTAAATCACATTTAAAATGAGTTACACAGTATTCTAAGCACTTTGTGTATTAGCTCATTTAATCTTCATAACAATCTTATGAGCTCTATTACTCCTATTTACAGTTGAGAAATTAAGGCTCTAAGAGTTTAAATAGCTTCACGTGTTCACACAGCTCATGAGAGGAAAAGTTAGCTTTGAAAACTAGAAGTGGTATTCAAAATATATAATTATTGTATAATGGGTGTGACCAGCACTTTGGAGTCCCAGTTCTGTAGACCCTATGCTAAGTGAGACTCTAACTCTTGGATCGTGAGAAAGGCAATTGAGAGGATTAAGTCAACCAAGTGTTTGCCAATCGGTATAGTAGTATTTCAATGTTTTAACATTTCATTATCATCACTGTCTTTGATTGAATGTTTTTACTAGCATAGGAAATTTCATCCTGACTTTTCCAAGTTCATAAAACTGTGGAGGTTTTTACATCAGTAGCGGGCACCAGAATTTTCTAGGTACCAGGGCAGAGGGATGGTTTAAAAAGGACCTGTTCTGTGTTCTAAAGGAGACCTTATGACATATCCCTCAGGAGAACCACCCCCATAAAGTCATCTTTTGAACATAGAACATATGTCTGCTGCACATGCACCCCAATTTGCCACCAAATGCATAAATGTGAGATTTTCAAAGAAATTTTATGAATAGGTATATATATACATATATATATATATAATTTCCCGTATATACTACCTATAAAAGTGAAAAGCCAGATATTAAGGGAGTTAGATCTCCTGGATACTTGCTCAGTACTTTGCAATAAAATTACTCTCTCCTTCTCAAAGATCAGTCACCAGATATTGGACTTTTTGTGTTCATTAATATTAACAAATTCATAACTGTGGGTATGTGGTCATTTTTCACCTAGTTTTCCACATCTTCTCCCTGAGACAGCACTGTTTTTGAATCCCGTGATCTCACCCCCTATATGCCCATACCCAGTGCTCAAGCTTTTTCATGTAGAGGGCCAGGAGGAAGGAACTAGCAGCTAACTTGGAAGCCCTCTCCTGGATACAGTCGTATTCTTGCAGGGTCATCTCACAGATGAAGCGGGACAGAGTCAGGGTCTTCATGCTGGCATGGAGACACTAAAGGTAGAAAGAAGAGAGTCTCAACAACCAACTTGAAAAGTAGGCAAAGTCAAAAGATTCTGCTATACCCACTCTCTTCGCTTATCTCATCCACGGCCTTTCAAACTATGGCCCACAGGCCACATGCAGCCCACCGCGGACATTTATCCAGCCCGCCAGGTGTTTTTGCCCCGTTCGATTTTTTTACTTCAAAATAAGATATGTGCAGTGTGCATAGGAATTTGTTCATAGTTTTTTTTAAGCTATAGTCTGGCCCTCCAACAGGTCAGAGGGACAGTGAACTGGCCCCTGCTTAAAAAGTTTGAGGACCCCTGCTCTACATGAGACATTTACCTTTCCTGCCTCCATGATTCATTCTAAGGTCCAAGCCCCCAACGCACAGACTCTTTATCGGCAGATTATAAACCAGCTGTGGAATTTGCCACCATTAAACAAATTCTAAAGTGTGTTTGTGGTACCCTTCTATCTGACCTTTTTTGTAAGAATTCTCCTTTGAAGACCCAAAGTCCCCCAACTCTGAGTTTGACCTATTCCATCACAATCGATAATCCATGATGTCAAAGAACTCTTTCGTGTTTGACCTTCTTTTGAAAATTGTTGCCACACACATACATAGACATACGTAGAGAAAAGTAAGTAATTCACATATAGAATACAATAATTATTAAGTTACCTGCTAGATAACCAATACCGAGGTAAAGAAATAGCACATTGCTAGTATCCTCCCAAAATCACCCACTCATATGTTACTACCTGGTTAAAGAAATATTTTCCACATTCCTCCTCCCTTACCTGAAAACTTGATAGGCATGGAACAAACAGAATGCAATTAAGCAGAATGTTGATAATGCATTGTGAAAACTGTTAACGAATGTTACTGAACAAATGGCTGGTTTGCAAAGCATGGGTATAATTTTTTTTTACTGAAGCCACAATAACATCTTTTTTGAAAAAAATATATGACTATGCTTTCCAAACCAACAATTTGACTCCCCAAACTTTATAGTTTGCTAACCTTTAATTGGAGGAGAAACTTCTAGCTGTCCCCTTTCCCTTTTATCACTACTCAGACGTCCATTCTTGGCATACGAAAAACCAACCAGTCACTGAGAGAATGAAGAAGTGCCTCTTCTATCTTACCCTAGCATATCTGCGCAGAAAATGATAGGCAGTAGGGATGTTGATGTCAAAATGGAGGGTTTTCAGTATGCTAGTTTCCATGGCAAGTACCTCATCTCGCTGATAAACATCATCACAGATATACAGGAGGTCATCCACACAAGGTGGGCAGGTCTCCTATGGGGGGAGAAGAGAGGTAGTTACAACAAGCCAAAGAGAGTACTCCGCTTAGAGATGAATGGTAGAGAAGACAAGGCACAGGAGGCAAACAAGCATATCCTAGTGCAGGGGTGCTCACACTTTTTCAGCATGCAAGCTATTTATAAAATGATCAAGTCAAAATGATCTACCAACGACAAAAATGCAAAACATATATTT